TCATGCCTCAGATTTCATTTGTAAGTACCACTGCGAAGTTATGGTGGCTATTTCTTCACCCGAAGTCAACCCTCATCCGTGAATACCCACCCAGGGGAACGTCTCAAAAACCCAGAGTTATCCAAACATGCCTCCATCATCTTTCAACTTTTCTTCGCGCAGAATAGGGTCTTTGGCTTCTCCTTCCCAAGTGGAGTAGGTGCCCAGGCTTCTCAAACTATACCGGAGAACACCAACAGGAGGCGGACCACGGCACCTTCCATCGCTGGCTTGTAATTATAGTGTCAGCTGCACTGTCGCAAGCAAATTCTTGGCGCGCACAAAGCCCGATTCGTAAAACTCCTTCCAAAATTCGGAATTTCACGCCCCTAGAGGTTATATTCTTCCTTTGCATCATCTTGTCGACTTGTCATGATTCCTATCACGTCCATTCCAAAGAACTGTCACCCAGATTTGTGCGCCACGCTATGCTTCCTCCGTCGGGTGTAAATATCAGCGTGGGCGTGTATTTGGTGGTCAACTGAGGCCAGAGAAGGTTGAAGAGAGGTGTGGTATTGAAATGAGGATGAACTGGGTCGCACTTATAGACTTGATAAGGCTTAGGTAGGAGTCAAACTCGTTAGGAGTGAAAAAACGACGTAGTGGAGTAACTTGAATCATTGCCTCTTGGGCCAAATTCTTTGATATTGCGAAATTTGACTGAACTTGGCTCTAGGAAAATATTATACTCCCAGGTTCGTAGAGGACACCGTGTACAGGCGTTCAGTCTTGCCCTCCGAACGGAGATTTCGTATACCCTGTGTTAGCGTTGTTTACTGCTGTTAATAGGAGATCACGCACGAGCTATCTATTGGGATTAAAAGGAGTCTGGTACCTGTGTTTAGAAGAGTAGTCGAATTATATCCTTTTATCCTTCATTATTGCATAAGCTTCCCTCTACCAGTAAGCCCACGAACCAAGTAGTGTGTTATACATTTCAATTATTCCGCCTTTCCGTCGATTCTGAAGCTGCGAATCTCTTCCGACCTCGCCGAAAAACAGAACAGTGCAAACGATATCATGGATTCCATGACACTCGTGGCCGCTCCCACGCTCCAGCTTGCTGAAACTGCGGATCTAATAAACATTCTGAAAAAGAGTGCAAGGTCCTCACCTGATGTCGCCACTGAGGGGGACCTCACCGATCGAATTCCCGGGACTGCCAAGACAGGCCCAACAAGTTCGGTCCGGTGAAAAAATAGTAGCTCGCGTAGATTTGCCAAATCGAGCAAGGAAGGTATGCAGCATTTGCCTGTGTCAAAGCTACAGTCAAAAAGGCTAAGGAGATCATCGCTTCTACGAAGGTCGTCTCGGTGACAGAAGGAATGGATTTTCGAGTTCAGGAATCCATAGAATAAGACTAAAGAATTGGTAGGCCTTGGTGAAGTCTATAAAGACGTCATTGTCGAATGGCCTAATGACTTGATGACCTTTCTTGCATTATCATAGAAACGATGACTAATTAGGTTGATGATTAATGAGTTACCTGTTTAGGAATGGCGTTAGGAGAGAGGGATAACTGCTGTATACACATATTTTCTTTAGTTAGAAGACAAGAATCAAGATACATGTTAACCACTAATTGTTATTACTACTATAGAAAGCTTGTAATATAAATACCACCCGAGTATTTCGACAGTCATCAACAAAGAGTGGGAAACCGGCCGATAGAAGGAGGACCTTATTGAAAGGCTATGCTGAGCTGGAATGACGTACCGTTAGGATGAAGGTATGGAAGGAGGTAGCTATGGCTTTAAGAGAAGTAAAGTTCGTGAGATATACTCTTAGGACTTGGATCAATGGACGAACTTGAGGATATTCCCTAGTATTCTCAAGTGTGTAAATAATATGGAGATTGTTTGAATTTCCTATTGTATGAATTGCTTTTTAATTTATCTACGTGACAGGACCTTCCTCTATATACATGAACAAGGGGGTTCTGCACACTAGTGGATGTTCCAACATCTGTCCTTGTCTAACCGAGAAAGGAAGGATGTGAGAGATCCTAGCGCCAATAGATACCATTAGGAATCTATTGGGAAATACTATGTCATACCAATGAGTGATGATTTAGGTCAATCTTATCCCATGGCGCATGTGCACATTATTCTAATGTGAACAGTTTATTGTAATGCAGTCATGTTACTTCCTTAATTACAACAGACCTGCAAGCCCATCTTTCGCTCTCCGCGAAGATTGGGGAAAACCAGTTGGAAGATGTGACGGGAAAGAGAACTGGCGAGAAGCGCGGCATCTAGAGCACATTTGAAATTCCTTCAAGTTTGATATTAGTTTTTTGGTTTATGATTGACCTCAGTTTTAGTTTTGATTTAGCTTTGCTGTTAGCTTAGGCTCCTTTTTTCGAGGTTCCCGCGGTTGGAATGAGTTGGGCCTGTAAACAGTGATACCTACCAGCTCCACCAATCATGCACCCATAGTGGACATAGAAAATTAGCTTGGGAACTAACCAATTCAAAAAAAGTACTCCTTTGTGACTCAGGTCACACCTTGAACAGTGCTTTTTGCCTCTTTAGTTACTTGAAAGATCATTGATATATTTTCCGTGATGAATAGCCATTCAGCTTAGTATTTACCAGTGGAATTCGGTAGCCTTTTCCACGGAACCTCCTACCCAAGAATAAAACAAAATGATGACAATAGAAACTGTGTACGCGGGAAAAAGTCTCAAAAGACCTGCAGCCCCAGCCAGGCGAGGCCCAGACACAGGGACCACATGAGGTGCGCATATTCATCTATATCCCCCTTCTTTGTAACAGTAGAGGCCGACTTGATCCAATCCGTCATCTCCGTATCGGGTACTGAGTACGCTCCGGAAACTCACCGGATGGCTTTTCCTCCATGATCAAGGGTTGATGATGAGTAGGGCTCCGACCTTACTATCTGGTCTGATCGTGGTTAGCTTCATGATAATGGTGATAGGGGAATATGTTGAGAGATGAAGAAAATACAGTTCACGAGAGCGATTGAGGCTCCACATCCAAGTGAGGATGAAGGTATTATTCAATCTCGTCTCTGCAGACTCTACAGTCAGAGCTGGAGGTTAGTAGAGAACAACACTGACAGTTGTTGAGTTTCGTCCCCCACTCTCTGCCGACCTAGCTTTTGTTCAATATATTCTATGATTCGCGCCTCGGGATAAATAAGAGGCTGCATTACATTGCATTGTGAAGTAGTCCCTGAAAAATTGTGCGTGCGATATGATAGATTCACCCAACTTCTACGCGCCGCCTTGGATAGTGGAGCGTGCCGAAGATTTATTGACAATAGGAGATCGCCTGGATAGCATTAAATTACGTCTCGGCCCTGCAGACTCTGCAGTGAGATCCAGAAGTTTGCAAGGGAAATCTCTAAGAGCCAACAAGTCATTTGCCCCACCTCTTAAAAGCAATCGATTACTTAGGTTTGTGAGAATGGTGCTAGCCCCATCTCCTTTACTGCAAAGATGGACGGCTGAAATTAGGCCCCGACAAACACCTATGTACTGCAGTTTGTCGGTACTATTTGCCGTCATGGACGTCTGCATAAAAATCCGAATCTTTCCGCCGCATGATTTAGGGGAAACCCTGCCGATTTTTGACTGCCGGTGCAAAAATATCGTGTAAATGGATTTCGATCTCATCAGCGACATGATTTATCGTCATCTCAGATTTTATATCTATAGCACTATGTAAGATATAGATGTTGAAGATACGTACTGTCCAAATCTAAGACTAGGCGCGTCACTAGCAGGTTCGTAGATCATTCATAATGTTGCTTTAGAAGTCGCACCCTATCATGAGCCGTAGTATTCGAGGTTATTCAGGCGTCTAATGATGATTTCAAAGACAGGGGATGATTGAATCCTAGGGGATGTCGGAGAACAGAGAGCAACGAGTGCGACAAGACCTTAAGAGGTCTTCGGAAGACTGAGGAGAAAGCGTGGAGAGCCTACTTCTCGACACTAGAGATGCTAATATATAAAAGGACCATCGACCATTACATGACTCCATGAATATTTTCATAACCCCTTATCTAAGATTCAGACTAGAGATTGAACTTTGCACAGAGTTAATCCTGACCCCTATTTTAACCCCGATCAGGAGGCTTTCAGTGTAGCTTTTCTAAGATCGAAATAGGTAAGCCAACGTCAAAACGCGACTGGGCCTTGGATAGGTGGAACTAGACCGAGAAGTCTCTAACCGACTTTGTGAAAACTGATAGATAGGTTGGAAACTAGAGCTGTTACACCTACTGTGTCGACTATGTGGCTAGGACCGCTTTTTCTGTTTTCATTAAACTAGGAATAATCTCTGATTGAACTCAATCACGCTAGCACCAACAGTTCTAGATAGCTTTCGCTCTGCGAGGGAAGACTGAGGTGAGGGTACGGCACAGAATGCCGGGAATAGTCTTCACTTTGGAAAATTAGTATTAATATCCCATATATTTTTGGGTAGAAAGTTGTTTTATTCAGGATCGTAGGCTTAATTCAACTCATCATATGAAGTGATCAGGATTAAGGTGTTAATTAACGGTCGCCAATTTCAGGGTATCGTTGTCTTGCGATCGGGACCTATAACACGCATATGGCGAGCCAGGAAATCTTCCACGGCAATCTTTGACCACGGAACGAGGGGTAAGAAGAACCTTATACCATTCGTTGTATTATGGTTGAAGTGAGATTATTATCTTAACGTTAGAGATAAGATCATCTATTGATGCCGATGTAATTTCAGTCAGTTATTCGTCCCTTATCTTTTTCGGAAATTTGCAGCTAGCTTCCTTGCGTGGATAGATATACAAGCATTGAGACTTGTCCGGCCGGGACTATATCCTATAAACAGCGTCACGAATCAAGTATGATATTTGCAATTGGTGAAAGCCAAAGTATATTATAAATATTTATAACAATACTTGTAACCAGACATTCTTGTCTGAGTATTGAGATAAACTTGAACTTGCTACTTGATCGTTCTTTCGACCAATTCCCGATACATAGTTTTGATATCAGCAATATCTCCTCTCAACTCATCAACTTCTTCACTTTTTTCCCCTAGCATAATTAATGTCGTCTCATACCTTTCCTTGACTTCGTTCATCTCTTTTTCTAGCATCAAAAGCTTAGATTCGATCTCCCTCTTATTCTCCACTTCCCGCATTAATTTAATGATTTCAGCCCTTGCTTCGTCCCTCTGGATCGACAATCTTGCTAGATCTTCTTTAGTGGCCGCTTTTTCACATTCTAACCGACGAACAGCCGATGACATACGCTCAACTAGTTGCACAGATGGCCCAGCTCCAGCTGTAGATATCGATGTCAAGTCAACTGCACTCTGAAAGTGAGGAGAAGATAAATTATCATTTTCGAGATAGTCTTCGTGGTCTATTGGCGAGACATTGTTCTCCATTTCTTCCTTGAGTGATGTAGTTGAGTCTTGGCGAAACATCCCTGAGGAGCGTTGAAATACTTGGCCTGAAGATCGGCGATTGGACATGTTTAAGGTAGAAATCGGTTCATACATTATTGAACGAAGGGAGTTTCTTTGACTCTGCGCATTTTGCGAAAAAATGTGTTCCTGTATTTGGCTTTTGGTGGAGATAAGAGAGGTAGTTACACGGTTTCTAGGGGTTGTATTAGAGTTTGAAATGGTTTCAAGCCATTTCTGTTTCTCTTCTTCCAAGCGATGCTGTGTTTCCTGCTTCCAAGCAGATTTTTCTGCATCAAAATCTTTCTGAAGACGTTGGAGTGATGACTCAGCATCCTCTGCTCTTTTTCGTAAGGTATTTAGTTCTAACTCAGTCTCAGACAGCTTTTGTTGAGCGATAGAAACTGCTGTTCGCAAATCATCAGCTTCCTCTTCAAAACTCTTAGCCTTGAGGCCCTATAATCCGTAAGCAACATTCAATCCCTCACTAGAATGCACAAACCGCATCTCGAGCTTTTCGACGGATATCTACTTCTCGACGAGCTGCTTCATCTCTTTCTTTTTCTAGATTCAAAGCTCTGGTAATCAGAGAGGCCTCAATACCACGCCAATTTTCACTTGCTACAGAGTACTGTGTTTGTAATGTCTCAATCTGTCGCAATAGCTTTGCCTGTGCATCGCCAGCAGCCCCAGAAGATACTTCTTCTGCTCTAGCCCTCATAGTTTCCAGTTTACTTTCCAGTATTCTTTGTTCATTCTTCATTTCAAGGGTGGTGGCTCGAGCACACTCAGAGTTTTTTTCCATCTTTTCTGTGATTTCTTTTAACTGTGATTGTGCTTTTTCAGATATCGATCTCTTCTCAGTTTCCAGTTTTTTGACTTCTTCTGTGAGTAGAGCAACCCTTTTTTTTTCTATTTCAAGAGATTCATGTATCCGCTGCGAATCAATCACTTTCTCTCGAGAGATTGCATCGTCTAGACGGGTTTTCAAATCTAAAATATTGTTGCGATTTGTTTGGATTTCAGATCGAAACTGACTGGCTTCTTGCTGCAACTGAACTATAGTTCTATTTTTCTCATTCACCTGATTTTCAAATATTTGCGCCTTTTTAAGTTGCTCCGAAGCGATAAGAGCAGTACTCTCTGCGTGCTCTAGCTTCTTTGTATTGGCTAATAGCTCTTTACTGTCTACTTGAATCTTAGCCCTCAGTTTCTTAATGGTTGCAAGATAATTAAGCTCTTTTTTAGAGAGATTGTGTCCTTCTTCCATGAGCAGGGCCACCTGTAGCTCTTTATCCGCCAACTTTTTCTCGAGACTATCAGTTGATGCCACGGCTCCATTCAATTTTGCATTCTCGGCGCTTTCCTTTACCAAGTACTGTAATTTGGTCTGCAGAGCGTCTATTTTTTCGATGTAATTGTTAATTTCTTCTTGACGTTGCGATTCTGCGACAAGATTATGTGATTCATTCTTCTCTGAGTTGGCTTCATTCTTCTCTGAGTTGGCTTCATTCTCTGATAATGCACTCGAGTTAATTGCGGAGTCTACCTTGGTTTTCATCGGAGGGAAAATTTTTGGTGTAGTAGAGTCTACAGATAAACGTAGGCTACTTGGTCTTGTTAAATCAAAAGAGATTTCTCCTTGGTTGTCGCCAATTTTTGAACTTGTGACATCTTTCTCGGTTTTAATTCCATGGGGACCAACACCCTCTGGAGTTAGAGAATCTAATTGAATTGAAAGATATTTATCGGAGCTTTCCTCTTCCAATTTTGCAGTTCTTGTTGCTTCTACATCAGAGTCATTTTCAAGGGGATTGTTAGGGATTGAATCGATGCTTGTTCGAGGACTTTCTTCTATCTTACTTGAGCCATTACGCTCAGATGTTAAAGCTAATGATAATAATTTATCCTTAGGTGTTATATTTTGGGACGAAACTGCTCTCGCGAGTCTTTCTTGCAAACGATCGTTTGCCTTATTGACATTACGAACTTTTCTAGGTGTAGCTAGCATCGTGAAATCAGCGATTTATACGGCCGGGGTTCAAAGTAACTTACAGACTTCTGGCTTCGGAAGGGTTCTAGAGGGTGATGAAATGGGGTTTTTCGTCGCTTGTGGAGATGATATATCGTCAGTCCCCTCGGCAAGTATGTTGTCTAATCGGCTTTCTACTCCAGCAACGGCTTGTTGAAGAAGTGAGCCCCATCTAGAAGCCTGTTTAGAGGGAGTTGTCATTGCTTAAAGATTCAATGTCAAACTGAGCATTAGAGACCACCCTTTTTCAACCAGTTATTGCGTTATAGATGTCCATCATAGTTAGGAACATTCTTATATCCTATTTTAAGATAATTTGAATTGCCAAGCCAAGTTAGCTGTGTAATAAAATTTGAGACCTTGAACACCGTGCATAGTCCTCCGCGGGCTGCTGTCCTGAAGTTGGCGTCCGCAAAGCCTAAAACCGATCAGCCGAGGGCAGCTGCTTCCTGGGCCGGAATAATAGATATTGGCCTGCATGGACACAAATCCGTCCTTCAACGACGTTCTGAAATGCAGCTGGCTGAAAAGCATTATCAACAGTTCAAAATCTGCACAACGTTCGACGAACGTTATTTCAGCGTTTAAATAGATGCTAACATCTCTATCGGTCTATCTCTTCCAAACCCCATATTTTCTCACGTTGCGCTTCGGCATGGTAAGTCTGGGAGTCAGAGAGGTGGTTTTTATTCTAATTTCATTTTATTGTCCTGTCTCAGTCTATGACTTTGTAGGACAAGGAGGTCCTTTCTGCCTACAGGCCAAGGATACCTATACTAGTAGTATATCCCCTTCTATGCCTCCCATACAGCTCCCCTCAAACAGTACCACCCCTCACAAGTCCTCATTTGATCATATACTAAGAGGAGCCCTTAGCCCTTCATTATCTCCCCTCTCCAGCCAACGAAATGATGGTCATTTGCGGGTGTATGGCAACCGGGAAAAATCGCAAAAACCACTGGGTGCGGAGCTCTCCTATTACCGACATTAGGACTAAATCCGAAGACATAGTGCCCCTTCTGATGCGTTCGAAGAGGCCGGCCAGCTGGGCGCTGCAGACTTGTGGGTACCTCGGAGAATTCTCACTCTGCCTTTCTAGCCTCCTTCCAACTCCTTCCCGAAGGTCGTGCTGAAATGTCAGAAAAGTCTTGACAGAGCGTGATTGCTGCATGGCAGCTTAGCCCGACTTCTTTTGTACCGTCCAGGGCGCTGGGGAGTGCCGTTGACTCAACGACAATTAAAGTCATCTTTGCACAAAAGAACACTCCGAACCTCAAGCTTAAACCCTAAAGCTACAACAAATATAGCAAAAGGACTCAGGTTGAATACTTTCAAGCAATGACTGGCATAGGAAATACTTTGGCTTACTTCAACAAAATTGGAAAATCAGAAAGTGATTGGTGTGACTACTGTGGGGAAGAATACAGACAGAGCCACATCTAATCCTTCATTTCCTAAAATTCAAGGTTGAAAGGGGAAAATTTTTGTAGGAATCATACTACTTTAACTATAGCTTATTTTTGGAACACAGATTGGAAAAGTAGCATTACTTTGCTTCCTATATTCAACTCAATGCCTTTGGGCATGCTGAATATGAAATGGAGTAAAATAAAAATCAGTTAAGAAAAAAACATGGAGGAACTTTTTAGATACCTTTTGTAAGTTAGGAGCGTGTCATAGCTATAAAGCTAAATAAACTATGAATTAAAAAAATTGAAGTCGTGGCTAATTTGCCGAAACCTTGGTCTAGGCACCCATAAACATTCCAAAGTCGAAAACATCTCGGAAATATCAGACCCAGCATTTCCGCAAGACGTCTCTACCTCATCTCTTTCCACGCTCCAGTCACCTGTCCTTCCTCAAGATGTATAACCCCATTAGAGCAACAGTCCCCCATAAACCAAGACCCCACATTTGTATATTACGACTTAATTTCCTCTTTGCGGGTATACGTAGGGTCGTAAATTAGTAGTGAGTAATGGCCGGTTATGAATGAGACAAGCTCCTATTTGAAATTGGCTTAACGCCTTTATCGGTCATTGAAGCGAGGTTGTGTGTGGAGAGGCCAAGTTAGATGACTCCCTTGAGAATGACAAGAGCGACATTGGTGAGAAGTCGCCGATTACAGATGTGTCTGTTTTTGCTTTCGACTTCGATTCTTCTAGGCACTCCCAGATATGCAGAGCATACTAAGCGATTACATCGGCACCATTTGAATGTGAAAAATTCGTCTTGGCCGGTCGAGATGTGGTTTGGTTTGGTTTGTTCATTAACGTGCTAGGTAAAGTGACTACCGCTCCACTCCTACTGGAGCTTAAGCACGGGTGGGGCCGGGCTGGATCAGGTTAACTATCATTAAGTACATCTACCTCGTCCCACCTAAATGGCCGGACCACCTCAGACTTCACTCATGTGTTGAATCATGTCAAGCCCAACCGTCCAGAGAACCCCCTTTTGGCGCGCCGAAGCGCAAATTACTCCTCAGCCTCGGCCACCACGCGCCCGAGCCCTTGACACCATCGCCATCTGTAACTTTTCCCTTTCATCCAGTCCCAGCTTTGGCTAATCTCAGCATCTCCTCATCTCATCCAGAGATTGTTTTCTTCATCGGAGGCCTCATCCAGTCGCCCGCCAAGGCCTCCTCAGTTTTTATTCCCTTTTGTTCCTTCATGTAGCAACCCTCTATTCTTCAGCCGATCTGGTAATCCCAGAAACTTTGTAGAATATCCAACCCTCCGGCCTTGCCCCGTCGCTGCAGTACCCCTAACCGTGAAGATCGAATACGCGACTGAGAGCTCAAGACCGAGGCACCGGTGTCTCAGCCTTTGTCGAACGCTCTGGTTAGTGTGCCGATGAAATTTCGTACGTATTTTTTTTGAATCATATTGAATTCAGCTATCTAGCTATGACAATCAAATATCCATTTATTCTTAAAATTGCAGAATGACACCAGTTAACGCCCAAAATCACTTCTCCATATGTTTTTATGTACATTATTGTCTGGATTACTCTGATTGGTCCGAAGTGTAGATCTTCACGCACGGGTATTGATCACACTAGGGCCTTGGCACCTACATAGGATAACTCTCTGTAAATAGCTTAGATAGAGAATCAAGAACAAAGTGACCAACCATTATCTATCTGCTAGCAGATTCAGCCTGTGCCAAAAATTATTTTTGTGCCTATATCATCTCCTTTGTATCCTGACATACATCTAGAAGTTTTCAAAAATTCTAGAAGGGTTTCCTTCTCCCTCTTAGTTCTCAATAAAATTTGTAATGAAAAAGGCTTTATGTCAGCAAATGCTAATCCTCTTTGCTTGCAATATCTGGTACAATGAAGAATTCAATGTTTTGTGTTCTGCATTTTAGCCTTGCAAAAGTCCCAACTTTTATCCTTAGCTTTTCCAATTATATTCAGATAAGCCCTGGTCTTTCCAATCCCAGTTCTTACATGGAAATATGCTGATTCAACAATCCTACCATGGTTTTAAAAGTTAATTGGTTGTAGAGAGAAGATGAGTATATGCATCTAGGCTTAAATTCTGTAGAACTTGCCAAGTCCCCTACACTTTCTAACCTCCTCTTTTCGGAGAACTTTTCTTAGCCAGTCATTATGCCAAGCATTAAAAATACATTAAGTTGCTTTCTGCATCAGAAAAGAATGGGATGTGAATTTGTCATATCTTAAAGCTGTCTTCTTTGCTGCTCCTCTTGCAAGTGAGTCAACAAGTTAATTACCCTCAATCCCCACATGGGCTGGACACCAAGTGATGCTCAGACTGCTGCCTTTGGCTAGATTTCGAATTCGGTGTGAAAGGTAGTTTGTCTTTGTGACGCCCCGACATTTTAGTGGCCACATGATCGTCGGTTCAATAGTTGGTAAGCCGACACAGGGTCAATCCAGGAATTCCAACGACTAGTTTCACACACACGAGTCTTGTGTGTGACAAATCACGATACGAAAGGTTTGTCATGGATATTGGTTTTCATGCGAAACCCTTGGGTTGTAGGCAATGAGGGACAGGAGGTTTCGTGTTGGCAACTCTATTTCAACAGTTGAACTCTTATGTAAATATATACAGATTCATATCCTCCTAGATACTTTTCTCTTTAGTTTAGAATCTTATGATTTGAGTCCATGCCAGCTTTTGACCACTCGCCAATCGTCTTTTGTCCCTCGAGTTTCCACAGTATTCCTCTGTATTCTCTGAAGACTTGCTTGGCTGTCACTAAAAATTTAGTATCTTGCATTTGGCAGCTTTTTCTTTAAGTGCTTAACAGCTTTATAAATGCAGTAGGTTTCAGAGTAAGTAATTCCAATGGAGCATCCAAGTTTGAAGGAGAAGCTTTTTAGCTCTCTAGTGAAAGGCATGTAATGTTACAGGCTGGTGCCTTGTTTAGTTATAACCGGAGTTTATCCGGTTCATTTATCGAGAAGTCTTAGAGTACATGGCTTGGCTGGATTAAGGAGTTGTGTAAAGGATAACTCCTGCATGAATCCATACGCGACGCGCGTTATTGAGTAGATAAGCATGTAGTCTTCGTAGTACTTCTTTCTTTATACAGAATATAAATTAATTTACAACACACATGCATGCGAATAGCTAATGTGATTAGTCCCTTCACATGTAAGCCACAAAGCCAATGCTGCTCACATTACTCTTGGTAAGAGATCCATCTATGTAGGCAATGGCTATTCCCGGATCTAAGATCTGCATGTGTTTCAGATGTTGCTCATGAGCTGAAGTCTTAGTCAGGGTTGAATTGTTTATATCTAGAGCTGGTGAGTCCCATGGTGCCATCCATACTGAATTTATTTGTTCTAGCTTCTAATAATTGGTGAATAATCTAAGATAGTTCCCAATTATAGTTAGTTGATTTATTGTTTTATTGAACTGGTCAAATATTCTGAGGTCTATTTCTGGAAGTGTGTTTAACTCATCCTTCAATGGCTGCAACAATAGCTGTTGTACAGGATGTGTATTCTGAAGCCGTAATAGTTGAAGAGTATAGTTAAAGGCATGCTCCATCATTCTGACTTTGGTTGGTGGAATAGCAGCTTCCAGTTCAAGGCCCTTGGTTGGACTGCGCTGGTAAGCACCAGTGATCAGTATTATTGCTTGATTCTGAAGTCTCTGATACTTATTGGCTAGTGTGCCTGATCCTCTTCTTCCTTGCCAAAGTACAGAGCCATAGTCT